ACACTCCTCCAAGTGGCTATTCGAGGTGCACGCACTCTGATGAAGGCACGGCATCGACGCAGCTTTTTTTGCGAAAGCCCGGGAGTGTCTCGCCGCGGAGCACGCTGTCTAGCCAGTGTACACGGCTGTTGTACCCGATTTTGTCGTGTGCATTTTGTCCTCCTTCCTACACAACAAACGGCAGCCTGCACAGACAGGTTCGGACTTTCGAGAGTTCTATCCATATCCTATATCCCTCTTACACTTCCAGCATGCTATGCGCTTGTACTATCCACCCGCTTGTCAGAAAGGTCGAAATGAAATAATACTTCCTGCGACTACACACGAGAGGCGCGGCTGATCGCATCGACACCGGGTCGGCTGGGGCGCCGTGCTACCTCCGTTTTTGTCCCCGGGTCATCAACCTTACGGCAGCCACGACGACACAGAGTACCAGCAGGAGCAACAGCAGCTTGCCACCCCATGTAGTCCAACCCGAACAGACTGCACGCCTTCAATAACTGGCACGGCCTTTGTTTGGCCTTAAGTTACTGCTGATGCTGCTGCTCTGAGGACGTTGGGTGCACGAGATCGGTAACATGAGGATGTTTCGAGTCAGACGCAACTCGTGCACCTGTTTGCTCTGCTATTCAATACGGCGCACGGGTAGATTATTGAAGACTGCAAGCAGGAACTCCAGAGACAAGCAGGCACTATCGTTGACAGCGTACAATTCACGATGCACATTGGGCGTTTCGCCTGCTGTCGTTGGTGCTCCCTCTGCGCAGAAACAACCGAAGATTTAGACGTTTGTAAACCGCCGTATCAACCGCTGGGATGGGGGGGGGGGGGGGTGTACTCATACTCATAGTCGTGCATGCCGTAGTCGTTTGACCATTGACCTCGCATCCCTACAAAGCCGGGACGGAGCACGCCGGGTTCTCACCGGACCAGGCTCTCACATCACCAAGCGCGAAGCGCCGTGAGGTATTTGGCGAGTCGCATGAAGGGTGAGCTGCATCCTGCTAAGGGTGTTCGGCATCTTGGCTTACTTCCTTGCGTACGGATGACAGCTACGTATGACTTAGTTTATTTTCTGGTGCTTTCACTTCCATTGACAGTTGTAAGCACTGTGTAACTGCCTCGAGGAAGCTTGACCATTTTAACACAACGTGGTGCGATCATCCCCCGTTGCGCGGAGTGAGGTTTCTCGACCCCGCACAACATGATCTACTCGACCACCATTATGGTTACCGCCAAAAAAAAAAAAAACGAGGTAAAAAAAAAAAAAACGGTAACCTGGTTGCCGAGTTCACGAAGTGAATTGGCTTCTTTTACAACGTCGTTGCCAAGCGACGAAAACCCAATCCCGATGGCAAACACCGAGGGGGGGGCTGGTTTTACAACGTCGTTGCCAAGCGACGAAAACCCAACCCCGATGGCAAACACCGTGGGGGGGGGGGTTTGGATCCC